ACTGCTAGCACGAGTATGCCATTTCATTGGATGAGCGAAGCGAATTATATTACATTTTGTATTACACGTTTGAGTAGTAACCAACCATCGTTCAGCCAGTCAGATATTGAACTAGATTTTAAATGACAGCCAATGGCCCGTAAGGGGACCTTGAGATCGATGGCAGGATGAGGTGAAGAAATTCGCTTGAGCAAAGTACCTAAGAACTGTATGGTACAGTTTTATAGCGAAATTTTAAGAGAACCCTTCATCCAGCTGTGGATCGACAGATACTTATAATATTAACAACATCGTCTTCGATGTCCATTGCATGACACACTCGAACAATGCTTATAAGGAAACTCATAATCAGAAATTTCTTATAAGTGTATCAGTGTTTGCATTTCTGAGTTATCTCAGAAATCTTTAGTAGCAGCCTCAAGGCGCATTGTTCAGTCTTACTGACATGAAATAACACTGAGGTTGCTTAATATGATGTAGTTTGACTTTCTTTTTGTCTTTATCACTTTTTTACTTTCATCTTCTGGTTCCACCACAACGCTTGGTTTGCTTACTGACTCTTTTTATCAGTTCTGTGCAACCAGATACAATTCTTATTTTGTTACATGTAAATCGTTTCCAGTCGTTGATTCACTTTCGTTGAAAAAATATATTTTCAGGAGATCGTATTTAAACATTTAAATTTTTTCAGTCATTGGTTTCTTCATTTTGTTCCAAGTCTGTTAATTTATTTGCTTTTATTGTAATGTATTTAGTCGTATTCATGATTAACTTAATTTTCAGTATTTATTTTGCTGCTGAGGTGTTCATAATTGGTTTAAATTTAGTATGCAAAAAAATTGGCCGAATATTTTGAAGTTGAAGAGGTTCCAGATTTACAAGTGTGGTGCTCGCAGAAGATTCGTGCCGTCCAAACTGCAAGTTTTCTGTCTCGTTACACCGCCTGCATTGAATCCTGGAAAGACCTTAATGAGTTAGATGGTGTAACGTTTCGCGTGCGACTGCGGTTAAGATATGTAAATATATTTTTTAGGGAATATGCGATGGTTTGACATACGATGAAATTAAGGCTCGATATCCTCAACAGTTCTGGGCACGGCGAAACGACAAATACAACTATCGCTATCCTTCCGGCGAGGTGAGATGGTTAACCCATGCTTAAGTTTCTAGTTTATTGGCCTGTTAAGCCAGTCGGTTAAGCGTTCAGTTTACAGTATCTTAGTACAGTATTCGTAGCTTATCCGATTCGTCATTCATCCTTTGGCCGCAGATTGCGCAGTATGCCAGTACAGTACAGTTTAACAACATAATTTAGAGGTTGGACGTTGTGCTGATTTATTTAATTATTGAGGGGGGGGGAGTCAAGGCGAATCGTTGCGATAGAGCATCGGGCAACACGACCGTTTGTTTCATGCTCCTCAGTATGACATTCCTTGAGCACCATGTATTTGGTATTTGCAGATGGAAAAGTAAAGAAACAAATCAGAATTGCTCCCCTTACTGATTGACTCCTGGTGAACTGCAGTCACGAGGGACGCTTGCATCGAACAACAAAGTTGTCCACATCGTCCATTCTGGCCAGATCAAACCAGAATGTCATACTGTCTCTACTCTTCGTAAGTCACCGACTTATTATTCGTTTTGTGGTGGTTGCGCCGAAGCAAAATTGGATTAATTTTTTGCTCAAAGAAATTCATGGTTAATACAAGGATTGTCTTTTGAGCGGATTCGGACCGACACCTTCAGAAATAAAAGCCGACCTGGTTACGATTCTGACATCATGCCCTTATCTAAGATTTGCCACCAGTTTCTCGGCTTGTTGCATTGAAGCACAGTGAACCGTATTCGCTACCAAAGGGGATGAGCAGTTATTAAGAAATATTTACTACACGCTGAGTTTTGAACGGGTATTGCTAAAGTGCCAAATTAAATGACTACCGTTTATGCTACATTGAAATGTCAATCAGTACCACATTTTGGGACCAACTACCTATGTCTAAAACACTCAGAACCTCTAGCAACTTTTCTGTTAACCTTGACTGTCTTATTTACTTAGGTAGAACAAAAGATGGTATCACAGGTGCCTGGCATCGGTTCTCTTTTACAGAAAAGTTTGTCGTTGTACGTCAAATGCAAACATAATCTGTTCCTTTCAAACAGATCTTAAACGTTCCTGCATGAGAGGCATTTCAGCACTCTCGCTCTGAACTGACGAAAAATTTTTCATCCATAATCGCGTACACTTTCGACCGATTCAGGAGGCGTAATTTTTTCATGTCGTTATTTCCGGCGGTTGTTACTGAATTGTCCTAAGAATCAATTATTTATCTTTTAGTTAGTCCTCGGTATTCCCAGACAGTGGCGTTGCAATAACCGCAGTAAATGGTGACAAGTCGTTCAATAAACTATAACGGAATATTACTCTTTAGCTGAGTGCTTTCGATGAGTATTTTCGCCAGTAGGGTTGTTTCTTCCTTATGATTATGAAATGATGTTCAGAAATCCGGGCTGCTTTTCAATTGTGAGCTTGTAACCAGATGGCACGGCTGAGTGAAATATGCCATTGTATATTTTCCAGACATCAAAGAACCCCGTCCCGCCAGCGCAGCACTATCAACAAGTATTTAAACTTGAAGTAAGCACACGGTCTGTTTTGTTTTAATCTGACGCACTAATATTGGTATATACTGCGAACTTTAATCTCAGATGAAATACAGCAGAAAATTACCATGCCAAGAAAGCTTTGGAATTGGCAACCAGCATGCAGGAATCACTGCCAGGTGCCGAACAACGTCTTGCAACAGTTATTCCTTTCGTCAGTAAAACCAGCAGAAAAAATCAGTAAATTTACTCGCGACTATTTTGCACAATTCGGACGGCATGTTTTGTGAGCAATGAACGTTACTTCCAAAGAGGGAAACGTTCTTCCTGCCGGTCAATATGTGGATTCCAATAGAATGTGCTCACTGCTGCCAGAAAAAAACAACGTTGGCATTTTTAGCGAAAATTTTTGTCATTCATTGTAAGATCATATGCCTTAGATTATTTTGGTAAGCGCAGCTCCTTGGGGAAAACGGGGCATGTTCTGCTTTTCTCCATAATCAGTACTCTGAATTTCCAGTCGTTGCACGACTGCCATCAATTCTTGTTCATGGTTAGCGCTCGAGAGCATTTTTCATTCTTCGTGGTTGTAATACTACCGCTGTACGACTCTGGAGCGTTTTCTTCGATCTTGCTCCTTGCAGATATTACTGTCAGGTTGTAATTGAAATAACATAAATTTGGCTGGAAACTGTCATTCACCACTGCCATTAGGTCTGTTTACCGTAGTATCACAGTTAACCCTTTCCAAATTCATAAAAGGACTCTAGCTTGTTGCTAACATACAGACTGCATTATATACGCGGCCAGTGCATTCTTTGTATTTTCCACTTTATTTTATCGTTATAGTAACAAAGCAAGGCCACCAATAAGGCAAGGTGCCCGATAGAGGGTATTACGAAAGATAAGGGAGTTTGCTTATTGGCCTCTATATGAAATTTTTAGATGTTCATAGAATATTTTGTGAACATTTTGTTACCATAGCCATAAACGGTTTTACTCCGCATATTCAGGGTATTAACAAATTTCCAACTCCGCCATTGCCGATCCCAAGCCTGGCTGAGAAAGGAAGAGGGCTAGAAACTGTGGCAAGCTCCGTAAACTTTAGCCACCTGCCACTCATGGTATTGACGCCATCGCAAATTATACCGGCTCGGTCGTCGCCCGGGTTACCAAAGGCGGCTCAGGCTGTTTCGGGACTAAGGCAGGCTGCGAAAAGTCAGCCATCTCAATCTGCTCATCGCTCTCTTCCAGCCGGGGGCGTAACAGCACAACAACAGCTGACGAAGACCGACGGAACGACAGCGAGGATGCTAGTCAGCAACGAAGCCGCTACTCGTTCTGAACGGAGGAGGCACACAACGCCATGCCATTATAGCACGTCAGAAAAGGGTCCACGAGAAGGACACCACCAGTGGGAGCGTCGGAAATTAGAACATATCCTCTCTCGGAGTCGGAAATCGGAAGTCGGAAATCCTCTCTAAAGTCGGAAATTGGAACATATCCTCTCTCAGAGGGAAAGAACAAGAGTTAGTTTATGAGTCCATAAATGTCTCGACATTGTTGGACTATCGTCAATGAAGCGCCAAGGCTCTGGAATCCTGAACCTCTGCTGGTGGAAATTATGCTACTCAGGGGTCGATACCACGACGCACGCTCAGGCCGGTGTTGGCGTTCTGGTAGAACTCAACCTCGTAGATAGAATCAATGATTTTGAGCCTGTCAGCTTAAGGGTAGTGCTCCTCCGACTGAAACTGCACGAGGCTAAAGTGTTGACCTTCGTACAGGCGTATGCGCCCAATTTGGACGGAGAATATGAGACTTTCTTTGAGGAAGTGCAGTGTGCTCTTTACCGATGTGCCGCATAAGGAGTCCCTCATACTGATGAGCGATTTTAATGCGCAGAGTAGACGCTGAAAAGTGTAACGGCGTGATTCGGACAAACGGCCCTACCGACCTCAACAATAACGGCACGAAGTTGTTGCGGTTTTGTGCAAGCAACGGATTGTCTGTTATGAACACCATCTTCGAGCATCGAAGTGTGCATCAGTATACCTAGAACCGGAACCTTGTCCACAGAAG